TACATTCCTGTTCCGTCAATCTCGAGCAACGCCGGTCCGCTGTTGTACACTCATTCTCTATTCCTCCCAACTCGTGATCTGGACCAGCATGTAATCACGTGAACAATAGAGGTATTGCAACTGAGGAAATGACCAGATAAACAAAAACAATATTGGAACAAAAAAATCTGCACAGACAGAACATGATCATACTGCTGCTTTAACGGGTTCAGCCGCGGTCTTGGACCCCGATTTCGTGTCAGGCGCACCCTCGATAGCAAGAGGAGTCGCAGCCTCGTCATCCTCGTCTTCATCATCACTCGAGGAACTATCCACTCTACGCCCGTGGCGACGGTCCTCCTCCCGACGCCGACGGCGCTCCTTCATGACCTCTTGCCGGCGAGCATCTACACACCTGTTTAGTACGCATTGTGATCCATGAAGCTCTGGGAACTTACCTCGAATTTCCTGCGTCTTGACCGCATACGCTTGGATTTCCTCCTTGGTCAAGACTCGCAACACGATCACATACTCCGCTCGCTCCTCATACCGCTCTCGGCCAAGCTCCAAGGCAGCAGGGTTCACAAGCCGTCGGTCAATCTTCGTCCACCGGGCCCCAGGAGGGATTCCCTTCTTGTGCGCATCTTTCAATGGAGCCACGCCTTCTCGTACGGGATTGGGCTCCTCCGGGAACTTCTCACGGGGACGCTTCAGGATTCCTTTGGGCGCAGGTGGATCCTGATCTTTCGACGTGGCCTGCTCAGTCTTCTGGAGCTCGTCTGGGCGGCTGACATCTGCTTCTTTGTGACGCGGCAAATCTTCGCTTCGGTGACGAGATTGAGACCGCCGGCGATGGACGCGATCGACTGTCAAATAATGAGACGGTCGCTCGCTGCCACTGGCTGACACATCCGAGCCATCAGGCTTCCTATGCGCCGATGGCTCGCGCCGGTATTTCTTCAGGTCTTCATCCGAGGTATGCTCATCAGACTCGCTTCCTGAGCGACGTCTAGAAGGTCTGCGCGATCGACTGTGATGCCTTCTATACTCCAGATCCCGAGCGCTCCGGTCCCGGGAGCGATGACGGTCGGGCCGGGGTGAGAGATCATAGTCAAAGTCGTCCGAGTAACCACTCGCGAGCACTGCGGTTCCAAGGCCGGTGCTCGACCCTGAAGCTGCGACAGCGCTCTTAGCAGAAGTTCGCCTTGAAGTACGATCGTCATAGGAGTGCCGGCTACTCGCATCGTCATCATGTCGCCGGTGTCGGCGATGGGGACCATGGTCGTACTCATCCCTATAAGAAGAGTAACCTTCATCGACATCTTGGTGCAAGGATACGGGGGCCCTCTGCCAGGACCGCCGCCGGGCACTCGACAGATCTACATCACTGTCAGCGGAGCCGTGCGTGGAACGCCGCACACGGCCGCCTTGGTCCAATTTGTCAAAGCCTCTCTGAGACGGAGGAGGCCCGACAGCTCTTGACTCCTTGCGAGGCAGCAAGTGAGGGTCATCAAGGCCAGTCAGACTAAGTGGTCTATTCTTTGGATAAGCTCCTCGCTCGTAGCGCAGCCTGGCAATTGAGTCTTTTTCCATCTGCTCCGATGCATTGGTATAAGAATAAGCATCATAGTCGTCGATATCCTCGCCTTTCCGGAGACCGCCAGTGGGGGGATACCGCAAACGAGGGCTATGCTCGTACACCGGATATCCACCATGAGGCACTCGTTGCCTTGCTCCCTCATGTGGGTCCAAGTGCCCAGTATCGCTGGCATAATCGATGTGGGAGAGATGATGCCGCCGGTGGTGTCGGGGCGAGGAGGCCGGTACAACGTAACGGTCATGGTCTCGACGCGGGCTAGGGGTTCGCTGGTGACCGGGGACAATGACGGGGGAGGCCCGGGACAAGGGCGATGCAGGTGTGTCATACCGGCCGGAGGAATAGCGAGGATCCACCGCAGACATGGTGCTGCTCCGTACTCGCGGTCGGATGGCGTACTCGGTCCTCAACTTGGTCGAATGGCCGGGGTCTCGGTATGTTGTGGAAGAGATGGGTTGTGCTTCCAGTCGGGGTTCTCGCACCAGGCGAGGTTCGTAGGAAGAAGCGTAGTTGACATCGGCATGGTAACCCGGGTATGGCGGACGGCCGGCAGAGTGGTAAGGATCGTAGGAAGCACTGAGCTGCACGGTGCCGGTGGAGGCCCGCATAGGATCGATCATACGCGATCCGCTGGGAGACATGGGTCGGTAACGCGCAGCGGGACCCATCCTGAACCCTTGCAGCTACTTCAGATTAACAATGGGCTGCGAAGCGCTATTTCCGACCGAGGAAATGTGGGGTTGGGACAGCGCAAGTCGTTCAACAGAAGCTCCGCAGGAGGTTCCAAGGCCGAACTCGCAGTGAGGGCGGAAAAGAAAAGTAAGAGAGGACTTGGATAAGAGAAGTGGATGAACAAACGGACTTTTTGAGAGGATAAAAAAGTCTGTGGGGGTGGGTTGGGTGTAAAGCCGCTCAGGCACCCGACGAGACGAGCAGTAGATGATAAAGAAGAATTATGCCAGAGGGGCAAAATGACCCCGTGATAGGCAAGGGGGAGGGGCAAAGATGCAGAAAAGAAAAAAGGAAAGAAAGAAAAATAAACGGAAGGGAGGAATTTGACAGCGATTGACAGGCCGATGCCCGAAAGGACAGACCAACCGGAGGAGGGAAATAGAGGGCGATATTTGAAGGGGATGGCGCTCACTGATTGATGGAACCAAACACTGGACAGTGGATTTCAGGAGAAGGGAGTAGAATGAAAGGATCAAAGAAAGTGCCGGAGATTCCACTCGGTGCGGGGAGGAAGAAGGAGAAGATAGATTGATGTGAAGATGAAGAGATGAAGATGAAGCGATCTTCAAGAATCTGAGGCGGAGAACGTGTGACGCAAGATGCGCGGAGGGGGGAGAAAAGGAAAAAGCACCACAATCCAATCCGAAGCACACGGATTCCAAGCAGTAGTATTGTTCCGAAACACGGACGAATGTCGATGGAAGGATAAATTTCTCCACTCGTAGCACTAGTACTTGTCCGGAGCAGTGGTCTCCAAAATTATTGTTGTCTGATATACAATACTGTCTGTTTGTAGTAGTGTTAGTCAAGGAAAGAAGTGTGGAAGAGAATAGGAAGGAAAGTAAGTAGATGCTAACTACTACTTCGTACTAGTCAGAACTGTGGAAATGGCAGTTGGCCAACCACGGATTCGCAATCGCTGGTTTTCGGGTGGGAGCCGCACCGGCTTATCTCAGCAGCCCGCCTTGATTGACTAATTGGACTAATTGGGGTTGGAGCATCTCTTCCCTCCCCATTTCATATCCATCATGTCCATCATGATCTCGCTTCTCTTTGTCTCCCGCTTGGTGACTGGGCGTCGATAGGTATCACGGGTTCTGACTTTCTTGCCCTTTTCGTCAACCCGTCAAGCATTGTCGGTGATCCCCAGCTGAGGATGATGGCAGTTACAGTATTGTGTTAGTCCCACTCTCTGCCTCCCCCTGCCTCCCCCCCCCTCTGCCATTTTCCGTCTGTGGTGTAAAGACACAGACCCTCTTCACGGATTACATTACTTACCGTGAGTACTAATATCCTTAGTCTGAAGACCATTTTATTAGTCCGGTCTCAACAGCCGATATTGTGTGACTTTTCCTGCTCCGTCTCAGGCGCTCCAGCACCGCTGCCCTCCACCCACCCGGGTGCCCGGGCAAATCATCCGTGGCCTCGTATCCACCTTCTTCAGTTACGCCTTGTCAAGCTAGGAGCGGATGATGTCATCCCGGACGAGTCTGAGGCATTCGGCACTCTTTCGGTGGCCCCAGTATGGAGCCTATTGCCAGCCCGAGTAAGATTAAGGGCTCTGAATGGCCATCCCGGTGGAGTCGGGCGGAATTTCTAGAAGAATGGCTCAACCATCACTGTCTGTCGATCCAACGGGCGCTGCTAGCCTTCCATGAAGTTATCGACGGAAGTCCGGCACACATCTGCCTTGCGAGAATGGCGTCTGCCAGTTCCGCCGCTGGGAGCCACGTAACGTCCCGGGCGGCTTCAACCTTGATCAGCCGCGGGAGTCGCATACACTGTGCCCTCCCGGGGTGGTTAGATCATTTTCGTCCTCTTTTCGAGCCATAACTAGCACCCCGTCTCCCGCTTCTTGCAAGCCAAGGGATGCAGATAACCTCGGGCATCAATCAGCCCCCTTGAAACAATGGGACGGGCGTGCTCTGGTCGGTTGAAGGTCCTTGCGGCGGTTGTTATCCACCCCAGTGCTACTTGACTTGCTTCACCGGACAAGCGAAGGGAGTGCGCGATTTGTTTCGGGCCCCTTCAGCACCCTGGCAATATCCTGCAATGGATGGGGAAGCAAATTCCTCTCCAGGCGCTCTCAAACACGCTGCCAGGGAACGAACTAAAACACCTTGGGTGTGGTGTGAAGGTCATAGTAACACATACCTCCTTAGGCAGTCTGTTGTCTTGAGTTTCTCATTGCGCTCGTCTTCGAGTTGGGAGTTGACGAGATTATAGTACTCTGACATCTACACCTTCGTAGGTCTACTCTCTCCTCGTAGCCAGCCACACGCTTCCTTCGTTCGACTCAAAATCTACTGTGGATACTTGCTCATGAACTCTTTCTCACTAGGCCCTCTGTTTCAGGTGTCATCATCTGGGAACGTCGGATCTGACGCACTCTGATTGGAGCAACCAGCCACGACTCAGCTAAGCCACCTAGTGTGCCCTGGAAACTTGTTGCCCGCATACCTGAACTCAATCCTTCGGGGCAGCATTGGGATAAGGCGTCTATTAGTCACGCACAGCCCTGAGCCCCATTTTCACGGGACAGACGTTGCTCAGCGCACCAGGGAACGGGCCATCTGCTTGCATCAATGGAGCAATGCCTATAGGGTTCTGCCTGTAGGTGCCTGGGCCGTTTCAACCCTTTGGGTCCCTGACCACGAGGTGACCCATTCGGAGCACGCGCATGCCATCTATCTTATCGGAAGAGCTTTACATTGCTGGCTTCGTCTTTGATGTATGCAGGCCGGGGCACCTCAATTGCAGGAACTGTCTGCCCAGGTATATCGCCCGCAGTGCCTGGACAACTCATCGACTGTGAAGGTTACATGAATTCGCGCATCTGTTGTTGCAATTGATTCTACATATAAGCATCGTAATCGACGTCTCTGTTCAATTATTTCTTTCCATCTCATCGTCATCCGTCGCACAATCAATCTCAGACTATCAACAAGAACTCAAGTTACTCTCCTTTCACCTCGCTTTTCTTGGACCGTTATATACACCCTCCATAGACCCTCTCCACTCTCAATCGGTCCTCCGCTTGGCTAGTTGTCTTGCCCCAAGCTGGTCCTATCTCCATATCTCCCAAACCCAGTCTGAAGATCTCATTGCCGTTTCCCAGTCTTGCAACCATGACCAACCAAGTCCAGAACGCCAACACCACCATAGTCCACGCAGCCGTCAGACCCTCTATGGCCGGCTGGTGGGTATGCTGCAAGTGCGGCAACATGAACAACCCGTCGCTGAGCTCTGGCCGTTGCACCAGCTGCAACGACCACCCCCGTTGCTCTACCTGCACCCCTGCTTGAGATACATCGACGCCATCCTATGCCTATGTGTATCCTTAATCGCACACGAGTCACGACTCTCATGGAAATGTCAGCCTTTACGACCTGTACGATCATGAATACCCTCAGTTTCGATATTTCTTGCGCGTGATGATCCTCGACAATGTATGATAGATGGTTTGGGTTCGGTTGGGTTTTGCTTCTGGTTTTTGTTTTCCGGTTACCTGTACATTAGATAGATTCTGGATTTCTGTATATTAATTCTGCCATCTTACTACGTGTACTTTAGGAAGTTTAAGGTTTTGGTTCTGATGTTTACGCTTAATTATACTTTGTAGTGGGTGGTGTTTAGGCTTCCTCATTGCTGCCTGCCTGTCTGCCTGCCGACTCGAGACGGATTTAGGCAGCACATGTATAGATTCTTGCAGATCATTTTCACTAGTAGTAGCACATTCTGCGAAAAGAATCTACCAATGATGCGAATTAATTCGTAACGAAAAACTTAGTAGTTGTGGTAGTAGTACTGACATACTCTGGTCGAATTTCTCTAACGATTGCAACAGTGGTCGCTGCGGTAAAATACTACTAGTTATATATATAACTACCGAACTCGGAAGTTTCACCCTAACGAATCAGTACTACTACCAGTACCATACAACTTAGCTAACTTTAGATCAATCGTCTGATAATACAATCTTCATTTTCCTAAACAGTATTCAAAATCACTACATCTGCACGATTGATATATAGACCATTGTTCCAGAATTCACCTTGGAGGGTCGGTCCCCTCGCTGCGCAGTAACACATTGTATATATCCTACGAAGCTCACCAAGGTGGTCAATACTATCATAATAACCCAAAGAAATGGTGTCCATTCTACTACTGTCTAAAAGTGATCACAAGATGAAGTGCAGATAAAGTTCGGGTATAGCATATGATTTTCGGAACCTAAGGGAACTTGATCCCTGGTTACTACTATAGACGGGGAGGGGTTAAATCTACGCCACGGAAAATTGTGAGGCTATTGCCACGTGCGGGTGTATTCTCCGGGCTAATCGGAATATACCACTACTACATTCCTTTCCTATCCATTCTTTTTATTTATCCACGTACCGGTAATTGTTGTTGTGAGGTAGGATCTCAGTCTGTATTAGTTATGTATGGATAGAATAGAGCCCAAGCTATTTATGTATGCAAAGGGAGAATGTCACCAGTCGGGAAAGCCAAAAGGACTGGTGGTATCCAAGAAAATACAAAAATAAAAGGGCAATAAGAGAAACTGGTATGGGTGGTTGGGAAGGTCAATGCGGGCGCTAGTATATGATGGAACAAACGATGAAATCTATGGATTAACCAATTTGTCACTCTTGCGATTGTCTATGTGAACTTCGTCTTCGCTTGTGTTTTCTTTCGGTGTCATTCTGTGTAGTGGGTTGGGATTCGGATGGAGGATTTAGTCCGGCCTCCTTTTTCAGACGGGACACTACCGGTCCTAGTTCGTAGAAACTGTCCCCTGTAGTGCGGTCTGCACATGGGCTTTGCTTGAGAGGTAAGAACCAGTCGATGATGGAATACCCCAGGACCTGTTGGAGGTTTTTGAAGGGGCTTCCGAGGTCGAAAGGATTTTCGCCAGGTAAGGTTTGGAGAATGGCAAAGACGTGCTGCTTCTCTGGTGGCTGGTAATCTCTTGCTGCTTCAGGAGATAGAGGCACAGGTGGCAGTGGGTATGTTATGGTGCGGAATGTGGGTGCCCATCGTGACTCGGGGCCGAGCCTTGCCAGCATACGATCTGGCACGCGTATAGCCAGAGTCCAGACTGCAGACCAACGGTTCAGGTTCTCAATTGTGGACAGATTCCACATCGCGAGCTGTAAGGAGCTGATAGTCATTCCGAAGGAGAAAAGCCCGAAAAGGGAGCTCCTACTGATGGTTAGAAGGTGACCTAGTAAACATAAAAGCTAGGACAAAGTACTTACAGTCCAATACCAATGGCAAGATGAACGTTTGCGCCCCCAGTCTATGCGAAAGATAACGGTTAGTTGTATGATAGCGAAGTTGAAGGTCCGTTCTCACATCTTGGATGATCTCTGCCGTAAAGGTTGCGCATATTATCAGACTGAATCCGCAGAATATCAGAGTATAAAACACGAATTGTATGAAGAATTTGAACGATGTTTCGGAAACCACGCCTCCTACCCTGATCGAATGTCAATCACAAGCCGGTACAGTACTATTGAGAAAGAGGAACTCACCAAGGACAAAAGTGGTCCATCTTAAGCACACATCTGTCTACCTCTCGACAGTGATGTGCTCTATCTGGCTTGTAGCGACAACATGTTGAGCAATAAAGTGGTCTCCCATCCTCTTGGCAAACAAAAACATCTTTTGTATAAAAACTTTCCAACCCGGTAATATCCAAAGGAATTGCACCACCGTCAGCGTTGCCGTCTGCACCTCTTTCGATGTCTATATCCGTCTTATCTGGCTTCTCAGCAGTTCTTGTCCTTCGATGCTTTCTCTTCCTGCGTTGAGGGCGTTCCGACGGTTCCGTTTCTTGCTGTTCCTTCGTCGGCGGGGACGATCGGGGGAGGAAGCCGGGGTTGCGGGTGATATTATACAACAGCCGGAGATATGTTATTATGACGACAACGATGAGTATGTAGAAGATAACGAGAATGGCTATGCCAGCGCCAACTCGACTGCCTCGGGAATATTTAGGGAGAGGGCGGATCAGGTAGTCAACTGATTCGGACAATTAGCGGCGGATGTAGGCCATTGGCTCAGGGGGCACATACTGCATAACGGCTTGGTGACAATATAGCATGCATATACACATACGCACAATAGAAATGGCGGAATAGTCCTGGCAACCGCTAAATTAACGCGCCTATCTGGGCGCGCCATTTGAAACAGAACGTGGAAGGCTTACAAACGCCTCCGCATCGGAGAACAGTCAGCTAGCCAGTTACAGGGAAGTCAACCCACATATGTATCCATATTAACATAAAGTATATACAGATTCCACAGAGCGAGATAATGGCGAGACAAGCAAGCCCGTGTGAAGCGATATGCGACGATGGGGGACAGAGCTGAAGTTGGCAAGAGGTTGCATTGGCAGTGCTTCCAGGAACGTGACAGGCACCATGTGCAAACAGGGCAAACCTCCGTCATGATGTCATGTGCAAAATCACGTGTCGATAAGGGGTGGGCTATCTACGTTCGCGATGTCCCCATACCATCCAGTGTGATGCCTACGAGAGAATGTGGGACAGTCTTCATCAACATAATTCCATTCAGAAGGCAGCCATGTTTAGCAGCTAGATTGACTCATAGCCGGCCCGTCCTGTGCTGCTTTGAGGTATTTTCAAGTCACTGACAATTTTTCTACCTGAAGTTAAACCTTAAACCTGCTAATGTTCGTCAATACGTGCCGAACCTGCTTGATCGGGACGGTCTTGTCCGCTGACATCGATGTAGATATCGACACGTGTATGGATTGACCTGCGGGACGGTTTCCAATTTGTTTCAGTGCGTGTAATATCATGCAATGCGGTGCGCCATTGCCCTGAAGGCCTCCAGACTTTGCCAGGATGGTCCGATGCACAGTGAGATCACGAATTAGTTTGACATCTACAGCTGAGGAGAGTGATGATCATCGGAGATAACGGTCCTGTTGAAACGTCAAAAGGGTACATGGCTGTGGCAGGATCGTTAGTCGGATATGTCATGGAGAGCTAGAACTGGCCATGACAAGTTTCCCCGCAGTTGCTGCACCATTGCTGTGCCGTTATTACGGACAATGCCGTAGGTGGTGCACCATGTAGAGCTGAACTCAGGATAAGGCCCCCATTAGTTCGTAGCGAGATTCAGCTCTGAACAGACGTGGACACGTTAGTACATTAGTGCCGGTTGCTAGTGATGGATGATGTTCGTTGTTCGTTAGTGGTTTGGAGATGGAGCCGAAGGGAGTCAGCGTCGGCCGTCTTGGCTGCACATGACATGGAGCCTCATGCGGGAGATCGGAGAAGCCGAAAATAGGCACGGGGGAGCACTAAGTCGGAGAAAACGAGGGCGCTACAGGAAAGAAAAACAGCGGAAGGAAGAAAGTCAAAGGTCAAGCAGAAAGAGCAAAGTGCAAAAGAGAACAAGAGTACAAAAGATGACAAACCGGAACATGAGGTTTGTAATGCACCCAGTCATCGTTCAAAGTGAGCAAGACGTCATTTTGGCAAGGCATGTGCCCAGGTGATCGATGGGCTTGGATGGCTTAGGCAGAACTAGTATGGGTGCCTGCTTACTTGGAGCAGCAGGAGTCGCGAACGCTTGACCGACGGAAGCATCACGAATAGGCTTATCGGTGCCCCATTAACTAGGGGAAATGAACGGTCAACATCGGAGTCACAGTCAAGGTCTCGAACTGTGGCATCTGGAATTTCGAGGCACAGGGCACGATGTTGCCTGAATTGTATTTGCGCGCGCTGTTAACTAAAGTGGAGCCCCCTTCAAGGCCGCAACCAGGCAACATACTGTAGTCTAGCGTAGAATGGAAGTGCCCAGGTCCCGCAGTGCCAGTGTCATACTCCGCGAGTCCAGAAGCAATGAAGGGGGAGGGGAGAGAAAAGGGAAAGAGGGAAATAAGCAAGCAACAAAAAAAAATACCAATATTCTTTGGGGAATAATAATCCAATTTCCTACGAAATGAGGAATTAAGCCATAGAGAGAGCAGGAAAAGGGCATGGGCGGAGTGGGCGCGCTCCCGGGCAAAAAGCGAGAGCCTCCAAGCCTCGCGGATTCCGCCTTTCGCGAAGGTATCCGGTGGACCCTAGAATGTTTTGAGTCAACATTCGGACAGCATATCTTACGATGTCTGTTAGTGAGACAAGTCCAATATGATTCAACCCAGTCTGGGACTGCTGATTGCTCAGGTACTCGAGCAGTTCGGGGTCCCAAAAAGAAAATGGGGTTGCCAAGCCACTTTGGTTGATCGACCCTAACCTGAACGGCCCCGATGTTGATCAGGCATAGCACCTGCTTGATGACTGAGATGAAGGCCAGGAGGGCGCCTTTTCGTGAGATCAGCCACAACCATGGCGAGGGCGCCTTGGGGCCTGGCTCTGAATCATCGCTAGTGACAATGTCTCGTCTCTGTGCTTCTCTCTTACCTCTCTTGAGGTTTTAAATAACCTCCAAACCCCAGCCTTCGATATGGATTCACTCACTCTCATCTACTACTACAAACACATTCACATAAACAGCTTCGGATTCAATTCATTGTCTCTGCCTTCTAGCTTGCTTCTTCATCGCTTTCCAAGATACCTTCTACACTTTTTATAGCTACCCCTCGAACATCATCTACCATCATGTCTGGAGTCTGGTACTGCTGCGATTGCTCCTCTGGACCTCACCGGCTAGGCCTTGACGACATCTGCCTTCAGTGCGATCAACCACGCTGCTCGAACTGCCACATTGATACTCAAGACACTGTTTCGCACCACTGTCACGAGTTGTCGCCATACGCACACGCTCCACCTCCCCAAAACTGTGAACTGTCGGGGAACCTTGTCGCAAAGATGCCGTCCATGTTGGGATGTAACAAGTCCATCCTCCGTGCTTCCTTACACCACAGCCATGCAAAGCAACATGGCATGCCTGGGATCAATAGCCAGGACTCCCGGGGTACGGTCAACCATGGCAGCCTATACTTCTGCTGCCAGTGTGGGGATGGACCAAAGCTGTGGGACAACCAGCCGAGATGTGTGATCTGCCAACATAACATCTGCGTAGACTGCAAGCCGGCGAAATAAAGCATGAGAATGGTGACATGAATTGGTAAACACCAACACAAAGATTGATTGGGTTGGAGCGTACGACTAATACTTGATTTTCACAGATGTCAACGCATTGTTTGATCTACGACCACCTAATCCATCGATTGCGGGTACTTTATCTGAGCGTTATCGTTATGAGCGGCATGAACATGGAACAGACATGACCAGGAGTCTTGGTTTTCTTTTCTTTCCTTTTTCTTTACTCTATTTGCTTTCTGCTATTGATCTTCTTTCTTTTATTTGGTGATTTCCTTTTGCATGAGCGATTGCATAATCTTGGTTGAATTCTCAAGTGTCGAGTTTAATTCTGTTTTTGGTTTCGGGTTTTTTATTACATGGATGACTGTACTAAAGATACGACTTAGAGTTGGGGCGGCTGCACGCCTGAGCGAGCCGGACTCGCTCGGTGGCAGCCGCGAAGAAAGCCTTGGAGTTTTGTGGGTCGTGGGGGACATTTTTCTGGATGGATAGACTATGGGTGCTCTTTTTTACTTCCCGCGCGATCAATTTCCACTATTGTTCTATGGTTTCTATTATGCGATCTCTTGTTTCAGCCCCCTGTTAGACTAGATTTCGGTTTTGAGTGCATCAATGTATAAGCAATGTTTACTACTCCTTTGGAACCATGTTGACGAAGATTCTCTCGTAATCATCACTCGGCATCGATGCAGTAAAAGCAAATAAAGAATGGAGTAAAGTAGAAAAGGAACAACAAACCTACGGGGGCCGATCGTGAATGACGGCATAAGCGACAAAAACTCCGTCCGCAGACTGATCAAATCTCGTACTCGAGATTAAAGTGGTCGTCTTCTCGAATATCCCAAGTGTACGGCGTCTCGGGATGCAATAATAGCCACACTATAGCGGGCCAAAGAATGAAAAATAGTAAAAAAAAAAAAAAAAAAAAAGGGGAACACGGACTGTCAACTACACGTGTTGATGGACGAACCCCGTATTGCGCCGCATTCGCACCACCACAAAACACCCATATCCACCCTCCCACAGCCATACATACTACGGCTGGCCCATTTCCCTCCGAGCCGCAAAAGTCTTGGTTGTCCATGGGCTGGCACTGACTGGCTGGGGAATTACGGAGGATCATTGAACCGTGTCAGCCAATGCCATGCAGATCATGCAGCCACACCTGGCGTCGACGCTGGAATCCACCGCCCTTTCACTGGGAATCTGTATGCACTGAACCCTATGATGGCGGTGGAACTGGCGGTCGGTAGACTTTTGGTACGTACCTGCCAGAATTCTGGGTGTCTCCGTTCTCGAAATTCGGGCCGCTCAGCTTCGGTGGATGACGCTTTGACTGCGCCAATTGGCGTGTGGGAGATACGGGTGCCAGGGACACTTTGCTGATTCTCTCCAGAAAGGGCAGTGCAGGTGCCGCTTCTCTCCCCTAGTAGAGCTCGTCATGGTGTCCGTGTGTTCGTTCCGTCGCGCGGTCACCCTGCTTTGCTACCGCCGGACAGGAAAGTGACTCCGATCCTTTTTCAGCTCGACACCTGCTCGGCAGGATTCGAAATGTCATGATAGTGCCTTGACACCTGCCGACCACTGCCAACTAATTCCTGTACCTCAAGTCAGAATGGCTTGCTTATTGGTGGTCTCCCGATCAGTGAGTCCCCGCCGTTCAGCTCCCTGGCAGCTGTTGAAACTGGGGCCACCCATTCATAGCCGTTGATCCTGGACTTTGCCAGCCAACGATACGACCGCGATGGGTGAAACGGCCGCCAGAGCCCGGCCCCCCGTAATGCCAGCGGCCACATGGCATGATGAGACATGGTAGGGATTACGCTTAACGTTCCTTTCTCTTCTCTCGACGATGACTAGGATCACGTTTGAACACTGACCTGCTTTTGTTTGTTCGTTTTTGCTTTTCCTCGAGGGTTATTTTTAATGTTGTCTCAAATGTCTTTGTTCTCTGTCTCTCTTGCTCCGCCGTTCTGTACAACCTCAAATGTCCCATTTCGGTAATCTAACACGCTTTCCACGCACATGTTCTGCGACCGAGCGTCGGAAACTCGAGATCTATTCTTAACCCTAGAAGCAAGCAAAAGCATAGCATGGCAGTCATGCTTCTAAATTCTCCGTATCACCCCCCCTCCCAATCGAACCTAAAATCACACTCCACATAGTGTAAAAATCCTCACATCCTTCTCAAGGCTGAATAATCCTTCCGTCTTCGTTTCCCCGACTCGAGAAAGTATATAAAAATAAATCATCATCATCATCATCACCATCCTCTCTACCCGCCCGGCCAAGCCCACGCTACCCCGCCAAGCAACCACATATCCTGACCACCACGTTCCATGGCTTGCAACAAGGCACTCCCGTCAGCACTACCCAGAATCCATGATCCACCGGTAGTGAAAGCAGCATCCAATCCCTGGACCATGATCATGGCCCATGCAAGTATCCGACTGGCGGCTAGACTGCGTCGCGAGTGATACTTAGTATAGTAATCATCATGCTAGCTGCCAGGCCCATTTTCGAACAGTAATTCGATTGCTTCCATCCACTACTGGCCAGACTACTAGTAGTAGTTCCATGGCACAGCCTTACGGAATGTGGCACCCTCTCCACTCCCAACTCAACTCTTCCGACTTTCTTAGTACAGTAGTAGCTTGGGGGCCTCTTTCTTTCTCCCCACTTTGCGCGCTTTCATCCTTCGCGGCATGTCTCAGCTGGCATTTCCTACATGCTCACACTGCCGGTGTGTATCTCACTTAGTGGATGGTAAAGAAATATTTACTGACAGATGGGTAGGTAGGTACTGGTACTTGCATCCTCACTTGCATTATTGATTACATACAGCCTTACACCCTACATGTCGCACTGTCTCCTGTGAGATTGTGACTGTACCTTACCTGCATCTCCAAGGTACTGCTGCGTCACTTGGGACTAAGCTTAGCACTGACTGTGCCGTACCTACATCTACATGAACAATCGTTGTTTCGTAGTTAGACAAATACTACGTAACTACACACACCCTGCAGGATAAGCATCATCATCACCACCACCACCACCACTAACTACCCTGGCTGCTTACCTTCTATATTCATCAACAACAACCATCTCTCTCCATTCCCATCCCCTCTCGCTTTCGCAGCATTACCCCGATACAGATGGTGATTCTCGCGGTCCCTTCCTAGTGCAGTAACCCGATCGCAACAGACTTGTTTCCACGATGGTCTCACCAATCATCATTCCCGGCATGCATCACATACATACAACATAACTAATCCTCCCCGCCTGCAAAGTACCTACCCGACACCAACATATCACTTACTATCAATAGAAACCCCATCTGCAAATCCCCCTCCCCCTCACCAACTATGCATAATCCCAAAACACAATCGCTGAAACCCAGCCCACTTGCTTGCATATCTATTACACAACACTACATCGACTATCACTTACCAGGCTATGCCTATTTAGTAACTACGTAGTATCTTATGTGCATAGAATCTCCTTGGGACCGACACAATAATTAATCATCAGTAGGTAACTGCAGTAGGTAAGCAAGCAAGCAAGCAACGACGGAACCCCGTCCCCGTCCCCCGTGTCCGCCTCCTTGTCCGCGCCCGCGCCCGCACCCGTCCCCGATTGTTCCCGATACACCTTTTCCAATTCTCCGTCCCCGAACGAACGTCAACTTCAGCTTCAGCTCTGCCTGAGTCAGAAAAACCCCAGTGACCAATTATGACTACTAATTCGACTAGTCAAAGTCACAAGACCACATATGACTCCCATACCTTGCATGAAACTTTGAACTTGAACAATGTCCCCCAACCAACCATACACATTGAAGATTAAGCCACACACACACACATACAAACTAGTACTAGTTTGAAGTAGTACTAGTAGTAACCAACATATATTTCCAGTCAGTTCAGGTGACTGCCAGACTCCTGACTGAGTCAACCTTGCATACATAACTAACTAGTTACATAGTTTACTACATACATACATCACTACTATGTAAGTACCAATTAGATAATATCCAACTATTACCAGTACCGGTTAGTTAGCATCTATATCCATGGGGAACAGAAACAAGGATAAGTCAGCACTGCCACCTCAACATCAGTAACTTTCATTAACTAGTTTAACTAACTTAGGTTTGGGCGCGGTTTTGACTCATCCTTCACCTAGTTGATCATATGATCGGTTAATATTTTTTCTGAACTTAATTCTAATATTGATGAATTTTGATGAAAAATATTGTGATGAACGGTAGTTAGGTAGGCTGAGTATGTGTTTGGAAGACAGGGGGGGGGAGGGGGGGGGTAATCTAGGGGATGAACGGGTGCGGAGAAATTCGGGGCGCAAGCTGCTCCTAGGTCCGACTGGCTTAACAAGCTACACCACTATCCTCCTATCTATTAACTATCCATCTATCTAGCTAGTAGTGTAGTATGCTAGCTGTTGTGGGTTAGTAGGGAGTAGTTTCTAGGTCTGCGCCTTGGGGTGGGTGTGCTTTTGCCCCGGTTTAGACGCTAGACGCCCGGTCCAGTGCCATACCAATTGTCCGACACTAAGAGGTTCTAGGTGTTTTGGTCTGTATTCTTAGTCGCGGCTCTGTCAACGGGGCATCGTGCGCAGTTAAAGTGCGCGGTTTTTCTCCTTTTTTTTTTTGCGACATTTACTTGTCTAGCTTCCTGCTTGTCGTTGAAGATTCTAAGAAAATCACGCAAGTGAGGCTTGGTAGAAGATAATTATGATTTGCTATCGCTATGTACTCCCTATGCCCTGACGCCCTGCTGTACAGTCCCATTCCATCCAATGGGCTCATAACCATTTTAAGGAATCTCATCCCATACCTTGAAGACCAGGCTAGAGGAAAAGGGAAAATCGAAACTGTCACAGACTCGATTCTCTCCGCCTTGCTGGCCAGGCCAGATGTCGTAGTGTGGGTAAATCGCTTACGCCCACTTCCTAAGGGGGTAGAAATATGTGATCCTCCAACTCCAGGCTCGCTTTTGTACGCCAAGTAGTAATAGATAATGAAGATAACGGGAAAATGCCCACTTGTGTCGTTTCAGAAAGAGATACCAGATCTCATGTATCAGAAAGGAAGAGTGTGGGCCACGCTAAGAAAGGCAATGAGGTTCAGGGAGGGGAAAGGAAGCCTCCGGGTCAGGAAGGAGGGCTGGCGCGATGTAGAAGGGATCGCTGCCATTGCTGGTACTGAGCTAGAAGCAGCCGCTGCTAGTTGGACTGGTCGTCTGCACTCCGGTGCTCGACGCCGGCAGCTCACCTTGTCAAAGAGTAAGAAGTGGCTCTCTCCAAGAGCGTAAAGTAGTCAAGTTCTTCAAGTTGTTACAACGGAAGTACCCGCGAAGGGTCTTGGAGAAAGCGTCTACGGTATGCGGCTATTTCCGTGGCCACTGTGTTAAAATCTTTCACCTTGTCGCGTCGCATGTCGTTGATGATTTGTTTCAGCCCAGCAATGTATTCATCCTTCTCTTCGGGTGTCTTGCCTTCTCGAAGAGATCCCATCTGGACGAGGATCTTGTCATCTGTGGCAGTTAACAAGCCTGGCTGTCAGCATCCGCACAGCGAAGGGAAGAACAAATGGGTAAAAGACATAAGATGAGACGCTTAACGAAAAAGGGAATGGAAGCGCGCGACTGGAAGGAGGCACGACAGATAAAAGGAAAGGTCAAGGGAGACAATGGCCAAAGGTCATATGGGAAAATGTTGCAAATAATGGTTCAGATCTGTCGACGCACCGCTCAGAGTCATATCACGAAAGTGTTGGAATTCACACGACCGGTCATTGCATACTCCCCCTGAAGATTCAAATGGACAGAGATATCTCATAGGGTCGATGTTGTGGCTATATGTTAGAGAACGATAGCCGCCCGAAACATTTTCAGTGAAATTTGGGTGGTAGCGGTAAGCCTTGAAATTCTTCAGCGGACTAACGTAAGGTGAGAATTTTGATTCAGACTGCTCTGGTACCCGTGGATTCTAGATATCCTGTCAGCATCACACCTTAGGCGGAATTGAGGTGCACCGCACATCCAGAATGCCAACCTGAGCATAAGCACTTGGTTGTTGGGTATCCCATTCCTGAACCTTTCTCGTTAGTGGCTCGTCAGCCTGTCTCGTCTCATCTGCGGTGGAGACCTCAAGGGAGTCAACAGGTTCGGGAGATGCAGGGCTGAAAGGTGGGGAATAGCTGGAATCAGCGGGGCTAGCTGTCTCTTCTGGCTCAGGAGGCTCGTACGCATCTGAGACGGAAGATTCACGGGAGGCTTGGCCTTGGTCCTCGATGACTTGTTCATCGGCAACCTGCTCAGAATGTAGCTCCGCCTGTGGCTCCGCATCTAGGGTTCGCGGGCGCTCGGGAAGATCATGATGAATGCCTGCCTCTGCCTCAATTGGCTCCGGTTGTCCATCTTCAGCGGGTCCGCCTGACTCCAACGGGGTGTTCATCTCTGGAGCGGGTGTATGAGCTGGAAGCTCCTCTTCGTCAAGAGACTCATCACTAGAGCTGTCGCTAGACTCATCCATTGCCGAACCCGTGGAATCAGAACTGGATACCTCTCCGGAAGACTCGCTAACGTCATCCATCACCTTGTCATCAGGTACAATGCTAGACCCGTTGCCGGAATCAGGTTCATGAACTTCTTCAGATACAACGGATTGATGGGACGGCTCCTCATCTTCGGGTTCTTTGTTGACGGGCGAAGCAGCGTGCGTGGGATCAGAAATTGCATGCTCAATCTCGGAACATTGTTGTTGGTCTGTGGCTAAAAGCATAGACAAAGCATATCAGTCGGATACTGTCAAACGAAACACCAAGGCAAAAAATATTGGCGAGTATTCTTGATGGCCATACCTTCAAGCTGGGGCATATCTTCCTTCGCTTCCTTGTTTTCCTTATCTTCCTTTTCCTGTGCGCAGCGTATCGCAGCCTCCACATCATCGAAGGTGAGCCCATTAAGCTCCACGTTGAGGTTGTTCAACTCATCCAAGAGCTGCTGCCGGCCTTCACGCCCTTTTGTAATTTCGGACACTAGCCTGGCTTCTTCCTCATTGATCTCAGCCAGTTTCGCCTCGGACTTATGTATCTCGGCATCTAGCGCAGGAATACCAACTTCGATTTCCTGTTTGCGCAATAATTTGACCTTGATACTCTCCACTTGGGTCAAATCAATGTTGGCAGGCGACTTATTATCCACCTCAGCTTCCACAGGGAGTTTCGGTGTATCGCTGACGTCGGTAGGTGAGAGTTTGTCCGTAGGAGGTGAAGGTTCCGGCACGTCTGATGGGCGAGGTGATTGTGTACGGCTGGCTGCCAGCTTTGCTTTCTTCCGCTCTTCTAGTTCGGCAATTCGCTTGTGCATGGCTTTGATCTCCAGGTCTTTTCTTCGAAGATGCTCCTGATGCTCCTGATCATTGTTCCTCAGGCTCTGTGGGGTAGCTGAGGCAGAAAACCCCTGACTAGAGGCAGTTGCCGGCCGTTGAGGAAGAATATCGACGGTTGGTGTGTAAGTACGAAGCAAGCCCTCCACATCTTGCATGTCCTTGCCGGCTGGCAGGTCCACATCCATGTTGTCGTGCTCATCATCGCCGTAGAACTCGTCATCATCGCTAATATCAATGACGAGCCTCTGAGCCTCAGGATAGGCATAATTGCCACCATTATTGAAGGTCTTTTTCGGGATCGGAACAGGTTCGTCAAAATCAGATGCTCGAGGTCGTTTGCGCTGATTAACACGGGTTTGTGACACCGCATCAGTAGCACCCTGAGCAGCGGAAACATTTGTCTGTACATTTTCCGGCTCTTGCTCCGTCATGAAGAGCCCAGGTATACGGGCCGAAGCATTGGGCTCAGGATCAGGAGGGCGTTCTGGCAATGGATGTTGGATTGGCATCGGGGTCGAAGTCGACAACGACTCGGTACCGGAGTTAATCAATGGTTGGGATTTCTCGGGAGGCACCAAATTCGACTGCGATTTTTGACCGTTCCTCATTAAGCCCTGCTTCTTGAGCAGTTCAATCCGCTGCCGGGCCAATTCAGTCTGAGCCTTGTTCTTTTCCTTGACACGAGTCTCCTTTTCTTTTATGGAGTCCTGAGAGGATATTGCCGCATTCCTGTCAGCGTTCGGCAGAACCGAATCTTCGGACGCACTAGATTCCTTGGTCGCCTGCACTTGAACTTGTCCAGGCGCCCCGGAACCCTTTGCAGCCTTTGCAGCAAGCATACGAGCAATAACCTCCTTCCGCTCCATTGGTTTCGTGGTATCCGGTGGCAATTCGGTAGATTTGGATTGCGATGCCGAACTTTGATCCGCATCTGACTTGAGAACTGAGTGGCTCCCTTGCTCTGGTTCCCCGGACTGGCTAGTCGACGAACGGTCGGATTCCAAGGAGGTTGCACTGGATGGAGGTGTTGAGACGCCCTGTACCGGAGTGGCAATCTTTATTCCAACTTCTTCATAGAGTTGACGAAGGATAACCGGGTTAATTCCTTCCCCGACAAACTCGGCATATCGAATGTTGTGAGGCGCCAAGCTCAGAAGTGCCCCCTGTGCCTGGACGCGAAGTTGTGCCAATGACCTACCGCTGCCGGGTAATGAGTGCGGGTCAGTTGAAGCTGCGCTGCTCACTCCTTTATCGAGGTCCGCTTCATATTGCGGGATTGACGAAGTTGGCACTTCTGGTTCTGGTGCGGTATCCGAAACCGGTGGCTCAGTAGAGATGGGAGGAGCAGGATTATAGGCTGCAGGAAGTTAGTAACCGGACCGCGCATAATGCGGGAATAACATACGTGACCCACTGCTTCTGGACGATAGGCGAGTTTCTGGTGAAGCCCCGCCTCTATCCATCTCCGAATATCCTGGCGCTGAGCCTACAGTGGCCATCGCCAACAAGTGAGAGTTATGTGAATCATGGCTACCAGTGCCATTTGGCTTCACTGTCCGATCGCTTTCCATGAAATCGTTGTTACCGTCCATAGCTCGAGCCATCTGAGTATCGTAGCTTTGTCCTGACCCCTGTCCCGGGTTCAAATCCTGTGGCCTAGGCTGCGTCGACGAAGATTCTTCACGATCTGTGAGCTCGCCTTCCTCTCGGTCTGGGTCTGACTCCGAGTTGGCAGCAGCGGCAGGCTGAGGACCCGGCGGAGTAGGGATGGAATTATTCATCTGGTAGTCGCTAGTTGCATGACGAACCGATTCATAGCCGTGAACCGGGGGTACAGGAATCGAGGGGTATCGTAACGGTGGCATCTGTAGTGGTGGAAAGGGAGGGTGAGGGAACTGAGTGGAAGGAAAAGGCGGCATGAAAGTGAATGGAGGCGGCGGTACTAAGGGACCAGCGGCGCTCGGGACCCCTAATCCCGGTAGACGTGTGTTTGTGTTGTAGGTGTCGGTATTATAATCAAACGGACGGGTAGCACCATCCTGCGCGTGTTGAGGGACGGGCGAAGGATTTTGGCCAAAGCCTAGGTTAGGAGGAAACAAGGATGGCATGGCGGTCGAGGAAGACGGATCTGATGGAGGCCACTGAGGTGTATAATTTGGTCCCACAAATGACGGTGTCGGTGGATAATTAGACATGGTTGGGGAAGAGCGACCGCGTGCGCGCTTGCAAGGTGAGTATAATGTCTGCGTCCAGTAAGCAAAAAACGCTAGCTCGTCACATCTAAAGCGAGTGCTTAGGCATCCCACATCGTTTCAAGCTAAAATGAGCAGGAATCAAGTCAAAAGTCATAAGACTAGAACGGAATGGATAGAATCAGTAAGCACAACACTCTGCTATACATGAGGTCGGGCGCGTTGGTGATAATATGTGGATGAGGCAGCTCTGCACCTGCCGAGCAGATATCAACGGAGAGCAAAGATGCGAACGCGACGTGAGGATGGTGAGATGAGCTGGAAATCTGGAGGGACGGAGCACAAGAACGTGAAGCGACAAGCAAAACGGGGAAACGACCGACCAACCCGGAAAAGATCGAGTTTCGTGCCGCGGGTCTCCACGTGACGGGTGCACGACCGATCCGGCCTAGCGCATGATCGGCGCCCGCAGCCTGAGGAACGGCGGATGTAAACAAACAGCGGAACCCGAAGGGGCCCCAGAGGGAGCAGGTGGTCAGTGGGTGACTGTCATTCTGCACCTCCCGCTGCTTGGTATGCTGCAGCTTCATTTAATATACACCTGCCCAACCTTTTCTTATCTTCTTCTTCCCTTGTCTTTGAATCTTTACTCTTTCCCTGGCCACTTCAGCTGGCCTGGATGCTTCGTTGCAACATCTTCCAAGGGCTCATTGCTTGAGTCTCCATTACTCTCATAGATATTTGTTATGATTACGACCTTCCCACTGAATAATGATCCATTGACCTTAACGAAGATATGCTTCCATCACAGTTAAATGGCTCCCCTAAGCGGGCCAACCCTTTCAGCCGCGCATCGCCGTCACCGACTCCCTCCCCGACTCAGCAGACAAAAGGTATTCGCCCCAAGTCGGCCGTTGTTACATCCACCAGTAAATTCGAAGAGGCCCGGGGTCATTTTCGAAACTCTGCTTCCATCTCACAGTCACCAGCTCCGTTGGTGGCACGGACAACTCATCGTCTGAGATCGAGCTCAATAAGGAATGATGTTTCGTCCGGAACCTTTGCGCCCGAATTCATCAAGTCGGAGGAGCTACGCAGGGGTGCTGATCAGATCCGGGGACAAGAGGGCGACAATGACTTCTCCGGCAACAAGTATGTCTGGCTGCGCGATCCCGAGAAAGCATTCGTGCGTGGGCTAGTTCTCGAAGAGCAAGAAGGTGGCCGGATGCTGGTCCAGACCGACAATGGAGAGGTATAATCACCCAATGGTACCGAAGACTGAGCTAGAGGAACTTACGGATAAACACAGCAAAGGGAGGTCGACGCTGACCAGGTCGACAAAGTGAACCCGGCAAAGTTTGATAAAGCAGATGATATGGCTGAACTCACACATCTGAATGAAGCCTCG